GTGTTTTTTTCAAAGCTTGTTGCGAGGTGTTCTCTTACCCTTCTCATTGTATTTTAAGTCCATCATTGCATTCCATATCTTTTTGTTGCATTAAGGACAATGCATAGTTCAAGTTGGGGGATGAGGTGCACCATTTGTATGATACACCAAATGTTTCTTTATAATACCATTTTATGCTGAAATGCACCATTCACATATTCTACCAAATAATTTTTTTTTGTATAGAATAGTTGAAAAATATGTGAAAAATTTTAAATTTTTTTGTGAAACATGTCTGAATGTTGAACCATATTCTCCTATTCATACTGTTATGAGTTTACTAATAGTTTGATCTTCGCTTTGAACTTTGAATACATAAGCACATCATAGAATTTTATCCAATTCTAGAGTATCACATATGTGTTTTCTTTGAAACTCAACCATGGCACACCTTGAATGTGTAATTTCAGCAATTTACAGATTGGATTTATATTTTAGAGCTTGACAGGCATAGTGGAGATGGAGTAAATACTCATGTGAGCTTTAGTGTCGATCCTTATTGGAGGGGACTTACATTTACTCAAAGGAACAAGTTTTCAAATTCAAAATTTCTTCAATAATCTCATTATACTCGCTTTGTTTAGAGTGCATGTGGATAGTTGATTGATTTTGTCTTGAAATGTTAATATGTCCTCCCATGCTTATCTAGAGTTGATCTTCAGCCATCTTTTAATTGCTTTGAGCCTAGCCTTTTCTTTAAAATTTATCCCTAGTGTCATGATTGATCTTTAATTGAAAATTCGTTTCCATGCCACATGATTGATCAAGCCAGTGCAAAATGATTAAAATTACCACACCTTGGTTGTTCCGAGACTAACTATAATTGAGCATAAAGGAAAGAAAATATGGTGAGGAAACCCAAAAAGGGATAAATGGTGCCGAATTAAAATTTTAGATTGGAAAAGATGAGAAAAAATCCAAAAACAATGAGAAAAAAGGGGGTTGAAAAAGAAAAGAAAGAAAAAAAAAAGAAAAATGTTGAAGAAAAAAGAAACAAAAAGTGAAAAGCAGGGGTAAGACTGTAAATTTCACAAAAAGGAAATTTTTTATAATAAGGTCACACTCAGCCCAAGTATCACCCCAAGGCCTCATTATAACCTTTGAAAGCCCAAAATGATCAAGAGAAAGAATGGTGAAAGCATACTTCAGCTCAAGCAGTTCTCTCAGCTTGTCTCTCAACTAAAGACAACTGATGTTTGTAGCTCACCATGATCCATTACAGCTGCTAGCTAGGTGTAATTTATTCTTTTAAAAAATAAAATCTCCCTTGCACCGTCGAGGTTCCACCAAAAAAAGAAGAGAGCATACTTCGAATGAAAAAGAAAGTTGGTTTTGCTATCTAGTGCCCTAACATTCCATTCATGAGATTATGTCAAGCTCGTTTCAATTGTTATGCATTCACATCATTTTTGAATTATATGTGAGCATTTTGGTTTGTGAACAAGATTCTATCTCACATATAGACATGGAGAGCATGCAAGGATAATCATAGAGTTATTTATTTTTGAGAGAAACCCTTGGAGAGTTTTGCATCAAAGCTGAATTTGAATAGCTAGGTAAATGTGAATCTGTTGAGTAAATGCTTAAATTACATGTGCATTTCACACACACACAAGTTTGAAAAGAAATGTGCAGGTGTGTACTCTAGAATAACATTTAAAGTAATGATGAAAATCATGTGTGCATAGTTCGGGTGTTTGAAAAATTTTGTTAAGCAACCCTGTGCTTGTAGGATAAGGGAATATTGCTCAAACTTTAGTTATTAAAAAGGAATAGGAATGCCTTTTGTATTTCAATTTGTGCTTTATATATTGGGTGTTCATTTTGTTTGTTGAATTTAGAATTCCATGTCATGTGTTTGAAAGCATCAAAACTCAAATCGCACTATCATTTCATAAATGAATTTGGGCATGGTCACACATTTGTAGTTCACTAGCATGGGTTAGGTTTTTTCCTGGAGTTGAGATTGCAAATAGGGCATTAGAATATGTGGGAGTTGAATAAACTTGGAGTGGAGGTGAGAAATTGAGCACATGAGTTTTTTTTTTTAAAGTTGAAACCTACCGGTAGAAGTTTGCAAAAACCTACTGGTAGATTTTTTCTAGTGCACTATTCTACCGGTAGTGTTTTTGACGTTCTACTGGTAGGTTTTGCCAAGAAATTCAAAAATGAGGGTTTTAAATCAAAATTTTTGGTGAAACCCTTCACATTCTTCACTCACCTCATCCTTAAAAACCTTCCCCTCTCCTTCAAAATCTTCCAAATACTCAAAGAACTTCTGGGCACTCATCAAATCACTCGATTATCTTCCCCAAAGTTGTGATTCATAGTGATTACTTCTCACTTTCTTTATTTTTTTCCCATAAAAACCCTCTTTCCCTCCTCAAAGCTACCCAAATCCATCAAAGCCCGAAGTTCTCACCTAAAGCTTAGAATTCAAAGGAATGGCTCGATTGGGTAAGTCTTATTGCGCTTCATTTGATCTTTTTGATGAACTATGGAGTTGGTTGTTGCCTTGTCCTAGGGGCACCTATTCCACCTACTAATCCACATGGCATAATTTTATGCCCCTTCGTCTATGCTTATGCACATACACTAATCCTATCTACCACAAAACCACAAAATGCAAAATAAATGAAAGTCTATAGGTGACAATCTTAACTAATTACCCATCAATTCGTGCAGAAATAAATGTATTGAGTACCTATATTAATTAATAAAAGTTCTAAATGAGTTGGGTAATATGAGTCATTTTAATTAAACGGGTTAACATGGAGATATCCGTTTAGTTGAGTATTATCTTTCTATCAAATAAAAACAATAATAAAATAAAATAAACATGTTAATATTCCAAAAAATACACATAGGTAAACTAATACATCAAAATACACACTGTAAAATCCGGGTAAATTTAAACTTTTTTTATAACAAAGGCAAAACGGTAATTTGTCACTGCGATACGGGTTGTAAACCTGAATTTTTCTAGATCTTGGATGACGAAACGGACCTCACCGTTGGATTTGTCTCATGAAATCTAGTTACCCTATCAAATTTCATCGAATTCTGAAATAGTTGAATTTTTTGCGTTTTACAAGGCGGTTGAATCTCGGGTGACCCAAAAACGGAATTTTAGATAAAATTTCAAAAGTTGGAAAATAATTTAAGACAAGTTAAAATAAAAATATTTCGAACTTGAACCGAGTCGAAATTAAATCGTTTTAGGGACGAAAACGAACCCGAAAAAAAGAGGTCGTGTGGCACATTGTGAGCCAAGTAAATTAGAGGGTATAAATAGGGGGAAAATCTGATTTTTTTCCCCCATTGTGTTCATTCATTACCCGATAAGAGGGAAGAGAGGGTAATAGAGAAGCTTCTTCACTTCTCTCTACGATCTATAAGATTCAAGCGGTCGAATCCACTTGGGCCAAGAGGGAAAGTCGACCTCAACGTCGAAGGCTACGCCTACGTACCAAAAACAAGGATTTTTACCGAAGGTTGAAAAACGGGACTTGAGGAAAATCAAGGGTTTGAGCTTGATTGAGGTTCTAGAAGGTCTTCTAAGTTGGTTCCACACTTCAAGAGATAGAGTTCTTTCCTACTTGAATTTATTTAGCAACCTAGGGTGTTATATGAAATGGCTAGGTTGATAGAGATTTATATCACTTGTCTATAGTTGTGAAATTGATGGAATTGAGTGATTGGTGAATTGGGTATGTGAATTTGACTTAATTTAAATAAAATTTCTAGATTGGAATTGGTAGGTTGCAATTACTTGTGTAATTCTATGAAAAATGGGTGTTATGTGGGCATGTTATGTGTTTATTTTATGCCTTGTGAAATTAAGTGAGTTATTGGCATATATTATGTGATAACATGCTTGAGAATCATGGTTGGATATGAAATGTTAATATAGGCTCATTGATATATTGACATTGTGATGGAATTAGTGTTTATATGCATGGGATATGTATACATGTGGCATTTATCATATGTGAGGCATGACATTGTATTGCATATGCACAGAGACATCGCATGTATGGGTGTGTGTGCATGGTTTTTATCAACACCACACTCGGTGGATGACTAGTGGGCTCGAGTAAGCTTGGTCGAAAACCTAGCCAAGTCTCACGGATTACATGGTGATTAGGGTTGGGGTTAGCAAGAAGGGCTAGAAGATTCTTCGGGTGCAAGGCCCGGGGATGGGGTACGCACTCCCTTGGTACAATCCATGAAATGTGTGGGTGTACACGGAACCCTCGGTAAAAGTCCATAAATTCTGTGTGGGTTGGGTAACCCTTGGTGTGAGTCCATAAACATCCACCCCCTACAAAGACCCTGAAAAATCTTAAAATGGTTATTGGATGAGTGAGGCCAATGGCGGAGGTTGGAAAACCCGGTTATAGTACTCATGGCATTGCATGGGGAAAATGAGCCGGTGAGGGCTCAGGTTGAGTTGCATGAGTGGGTGTCATCTCATATCATTGCACGGCATGTTAAATTCCAACAACAATAAAAAAAAAAAAAAGTTGGTTTCGGATTTAATTGGATGCAAGGACATTTTAGCCTTTTTTTCAAATCAAAATTATAGAGCCACATTGAATCCAAATATAGAATTTGTATACTTATTCCAACCCTAAACTAAGCTTAAAGTAAATGAGATATGATACAATGTTGGAACGATTGTTACCATCAATAGGGATTGGATTGGAACCCATCCTTTAATCTTATCCCACGGCATACATAAAAACCAAAAACACTCCTAAAAACTTCAATAGAATTCCTACGGATAGAGGCATATTAGAAGCAGTAAGCAATTTGGCAAGATTTTGTTTGGCTGAAAGTCCAAACAAATGCAAGTATATTTAATCAGCTTGAAGTAGTCTTCCAGCATGACACAACAGTAAGTGAGCAGTGTATATATAACTTTGTGATTCAAATTTGAAAGTAGTAGGCCCCGAGTTTTATCCCTGGGAAAAAGAGAAATTACCATTAGGGTCATCTACATTTCTTGTTGGATTTCTGGGTGAGTTAGGACTGGAAAGAAGAGAAGGGCCTTCTGTCTCCGATAACTCGGTCTCGGACCGGTATGCTTGGGGAGAGTTGAGATCGCTTTCGATGTCCGCAGAGTTGTGCTTGTTTTTGTGGAGCAAATATAAGGGTGATGAGCCTTGGCTTGGGGTGTTCTCTCCACTTCTTAAACCAGATGGAATATCTGCTTCTGCTTTTCTCAACTTTCTTTTGTCCCTTGCTGTCTTCTGCCATTTCTTTAGAGCCTTTGCTGTCTGCTCTTCAAAGATTGCCTGCTTCATGTGGGAACCCATCTGCATAGTTTCTTTCATAATTTGAGCTTCTTATAATGAAATTACAATAATTCTCATATAAAATAGGTCTCGCAATTCTACGCACAACCCGTGAAACTGATAAGAAACTGGTGCAAAATTAATTAGGTTTTGATGAAAAATAGATGAATCCGTCAGACCCATTAAATAAATGGGTCAACACAAGCTTGGTTTTATACTACAAAATACACAATACGGGCATTATACAACACAAAAGCCATTATGCACAATATAAATGATATAGGTATGGTTGATCAAATATAGACGTGACATGATTTGCACGTTTTAAAAATATAACATGACATAAGCCATTGAAAATCCTAATGTAACGTTCAAGGCTCTATTATATAATATAGTTTATTTTGGATTAACCTATACAACTTTAAAATACGTTGTACAGTATAAACCCAAAGCTCCCACTTTGCACCAATTCACCCCACCTACTTTACAAAAGCAATTTGTGAAAACTGTTAAGGACTCTTGTAGTGGAGAAACTCACTTGCGTTACCAAGGCATAGAGAGGGAAGGTTATGTAGCTACACAAGACTTGAAAAGCTACTCCAAGACAAACCTTGCCCACAACAAATTCCCAGTTTTCATGAAAGCATGATTTTAGCCCGAACTCATACTGCATTTGGAACATCAGTAGTTCTTGATCAGCAAACACTAGTCAGAAATCTGGAGGTGACAAAAATGAAAAACAAGCGACAAATTGTTTTACCCATATCCACAGAAAGTAAGCCATCTGGAAGGCGTTCTACAAAAATGGAAAACATATAATATTGAGTTCAAAAACATTACCACAAGATTTTGATTAAAATTGTGTTTTGAACTTCAGAATTACATATATATTAGTGTTGTACACTTTCTGAGTGAATCAGGACAAGCTAACATGTTCTAAATAAGGCAAGTAACAACTGAATTACCTGGAATAAGGTGAAATGTATCAAGAAAAGAATCCATTGGGGTCGATTGAACCAAAAGTACTTATTACTAGTCTCGACAATTGGAACTCCCTTCACCACAGTTGTTCTGTCTTGGATTTGTTGAGCCATGTCCATGATGATTATTTCAAGCTTTGTGCCAACAATCAGAAGTATCTATTTGAACCAAAAGTACTTATTTCAAGCCATGTGTACTGAGGACTGACCCAACAGCATGTTTAAAAAAGTCTGGGCTTTAGGCCTATTTCAAAATAAGGCCCCAAATTTTAAACACTATAAATAATCCATGTAAAAATGGTATTATAAAAATATAAGCTCCATCAATCATTTAGGCCCATAATCCAATTCAAATATTCAATACATAAAAAGATTAACAGCATAAAAAAAAAAAGGCTGAACCAAAAAGCCATATCAAATTTAAAAAAAAAAATCAAAAAGTCAAATCATATCTTACTTTTAACTCTCTCTCTCTTTCGGTAAACCAACACAAAGCAATTTTTCTTTTTCTTTCTCCCTCTCATTAAATTGAAACAAAAAAAAACAATAACTTTTTTTCCTCTATCTCTCTCATAGTGCTCTCAAGTCTCAACTCACAGATCAGACTCACGAAAACATACGAACAGTGAGACAGTGACTCGGCATCTATCCTCCATCATCAACTCGAGTTTTTATTGCAACATAAAAGACATAGTTCAAAAACAAAAAGCCAACAATTGAGATCATTCAAGGTTCTATTATTTCATAATTTTAAATTTGTTTGTTATATATTTTAACTATACTATATATTGTGTTTGTTTGGTTGCTATATAGTTATAATATATTAATAATATGACACTTAGAAAACAACCAAGTGGATACGAAAAATTTTTTTAAAAAAAAAAGAAAAATAAATCAACTAATAGAATCTCAAAAAAGATCTCTTGATAAATTTGTTACTAGTAACAAAAATAATGTGATAAAAAATTTAGATGAAAATTTTGAAAATGAATAAGTAGATAATGAAATAGAAGAGAATAAAATAAAAAAATATTGAAATAAAAGAGAATGAAATAGAATATAATGAAATAAAAAATATTGAAGTAGAAAAAATTGAAATAACAGATAATAAAATAGAAGATAATGAAATATAAAATATTAAAAAAGAAAATAGTGAAGTAAAAGATAATGAAATAGAAGACAATCAAAATCTTAATGAAACAAGTGATTATAATCATATAAATATTTATGATCCAAGTCAATGGAAAAATATTGATACAAAATTAAGAGATTTATTAGTAGAAAATGATTCAATTAGATATAATAATTTAGATTTTTCTCGAGATGAACACTCTAGACATTTGCAATTAGTGGAAACTAGTGAAAATCCTAAAAAAGGAGTGAAGCTAATTGTTCAGTAACATATGAGATTGAGAATTTTGAGTTTTTATTGGGCATGATTATTTGGTATGATATTTTATTTTTCGTCAACTTAGTTAGTAAATATTTACAATCAAAAAATATGCATATTGATATTGTTATAGATCATTTAAAAGGACTCATTTTTTTTTTAAAAAAAATATAGAGATAGTGGATTTATAAATTCTATGATTTCATCTAAAGAGATTGCATATAAAATTGGTATATAACCTATATTTCGTTAAAAACGTAGAGTTTATAGAAAAAAATAATTTGATGAAAATGTTGATGATGATGTAACACAATCTATTGAATAATCTTTTAGAATTAATTATTTTACGTAAATTATTGATCAAGCTATTTCTTCACTAAAGAGTAGATTTGAACAATTACAAAAGTACGAAAATATTTTTGGTTTTTTATTTAACTTAGAAAAATTAAATCATTGACCAGTGACAGTTTATAACAATATTGTTTGGATTTCAAATGTTTCTTAAAACATAAAAAATTTTCTGATATTGATGGCTTAGATTTATTTTTTTAAAAAAATTTACAAATGAAAGAAAATACACCAATTGAGATACTAAATTATATAAAAAAGTTAAATTATTTTCCAAATTCATGCATTACTTATAGAATATTATTAACAATTCATGTAACAGTTACTTCTGCGAAAAGAAAATTTTCAAAATTAAATTTGATAAAATCTTACTTAAGATCAAATATGTCACAAGAAAAATTAACTAGATTAGCAATACTGTCAATTGAAAAAGACATAGTAGTGAAACTTGAATATAAAAACTTTAATTAATACTTTTGCAACTCAAAAAGCAAGAAAAATTAATTTTAAATAAAAAATATTAATATTAAACATAGAAGGCCTCATTTAGAAGTTTTACTTTAGACCCCAAAGTGTCTTGAGCCACCCTTATGTGTACTTTGAACTCATGGATGGAATGCTAACATGTGTCGTTTAAACCCGAGCTTTATTCGTTCAGTGGCACTCAAACTGTTGATGTATGTGTTTACGTCTTACTCTTTGTTAGACCACATTCAACTTATTTTAGTCGAACATAACAATGGAAAAAATTTGAAACAGGCAAAAGGAAGCAGAATTCATACTATTGGTGGCACGAATGAGATCGCCGTAAATGTGTACCATCCTACACAAATGGTGCAACATGGTTTGTTTTGTTATTTGCTAATGAAAATGAGAAAGAAAAGAGTTTTATGGAATAAAAGCCCAAGGGAGCAGAGCCTTACTATAGACATTCAGGAGCTGAAAGATGACTGCAAATGTCCACAGTGGTATACTGTTAAAAATACAACAGAAAAGAGGCAACCATGGTTAGCCCAAGCAGTATTTCAATAGTATTCTCTATTTTAAAGAGTTTCTTTTCTAAAATGGAAAGTGTCTTTAATAAAACTTTGTATACAACTTCAATATAACTCATTGTTCTGATTTAGAGAAATAACCTCAATAGCAAATAACATCAAATGAATAAGGTACATTTATTATTTACTAGCAATGCACTATGTTGCTACATGTGAATAATTTTCTTACATAAAAATAATTAAAACATATTAGGTATATGTGTATTTGAATTAAATATTATCTTAAATTTACCAAATTTAATTTTGCATTGCTCATATTTTATTATAGGATTATAAAAACTTTGTATGTTCCCAAAATTATTCTAAGAAAAAAGATTAAAAAAACAAAGAAATAGTTAAAATTTCTATTTTTTTTTTTGAATTTTGTGGTTGGGATTGATTTTTTAGTGATATTTGAGAAATTAAATTTTTTGAAATTTATTTTGTTAGGATTCTACTGATAATTCCTTGAATAAAATAAAAGTATTTGTCAATATATTAATCATATTGGAACCTTACTATAATTAGGAATTGGATAGGTGAATTTGGTAAAAATTTAATATACTACTCTATAATATATATTATTAAGGATATTATAATTCTAAAAAAAATCAAGTTTTGTTTAAAATTAAATTACAATATCTAGGGACGAAGCCAGAAATTAGCTTAAGGGTGAACACTTTAACTAAACCCAACTCTATAACATTAAGTAATTAATGACCTTAGGCACAAAGACGACTCTAATTTTATGTATGTTAATAAAATGGTGCAATTAAAAATGTAAACTGTCCATAAAAAAGATTTCATAAAAGCAAAATGTCAAAAAAAAATTCTAAATGCAAATGAAAAAGGACATTTGTTTCAAGTTTTTTCTCATTGATCTTAGAAAATTAAATAAGAATTCAAGAAGTAAGTGTAATAATACCTTTATAATTCAATTAAAACAAATCAATAATAAATCTTAGAAAATTAAAGATCAATTATAGGTTAATTATAAACAATTTTAATTTTAATTTACGAATTTAGAATCAAAAGATCAAAAATATACAAATTAAGGCCAATTTTAAGGGTGGGCACAATTTGTTTTGAGGGTGGGATCATGCCCACCCAGGCCCTATATATATCCGCCAATGACAATATTTATTTTTACATAATATTTTAATACAGTTGAAAAAATTATTGTGACTGAAAAATTATAGTGATGTAACATAAATTGATTTAAAAAAAATTATATATATGATTATTTTTTATCTTAAAAATGAAATAGTTAAACTTTTTGATGAAAAGAAAATATGCATATGTAAACATAATGTTATCTTTCCATATGAGATGAATAATATTAAATGGATTAAGTTTTTTTTTTTTGATATTTTTTTAAAAAATTATTGAAAATATAATAATACATACATTTTTAGGGTAATATAGTCGATCAATTTTTTTTTATAGAAATGGATATTTATACGTAAAGAATAGATAATTAAAAGAAATGTTAAAGATAGTTTAAAGATTTAAATACATAATGATAATTTAGATATTTAATTATGAAGTGATAGAATGATCCTTATAATTCTTTATAAGGGTAAAATAAATATTCAAAAAAAAATTCATGTTAAGGTAGAATAGATTTATGTTTGGTAAAAAAAAAAAAGTATTATAGATTTATACAATACTGTTGAAATAAAGATTGAATTTAGGAGAGGCAAATTAGACTCACTTTTTCAACTTTTATAAATAAAGAGTTTATTGAAGCTTGATTTTTAAATGTTAACATTCTAAAATGAGGAATTAAATGGGAATAAAGAACTTGATATGTTTTTGGACATTGTAGTCCGCAAGTAAGCAAGCACAAAGAGAGAGAGAGAGAGAGAGAGAGAGAGAGAGACCTAATACCGACGACCACCTTGAAATCATCTTCCATAGATCTTTTGATGTATTTATGGAAGTCAAATTTACTATTTGGAGCAAAATGAGCCTGCACCAAAATTTGCATTAAGATTGATGAGGGTGACTGATGACAGATTTATGGCATTCACAGTGTCTACATATGGAATTGTCATCCTTAACTAGGTCCGACTGCTTGGATCGAGCCTCAGTTTTGGCTCAGAGATGAAATTATTTAAGGGTAATGATGTATCCTCCGGTTTAAATCTATTGGATTCCTACCTGTCGCGGTTTTTTAACAAAGCGCTTGATTTTTACCTACGGATATAACGATCCCGACCAATATAAATTAACCTCGAGCATGACCGAGTCAGGATTATGTCCTAGTAGAGATAAAAATATCAATTGGTATAAAAAATTCTCCCCCACCTCCAGTAATAGATTAAATTGCCTACAAATTTTGCAGA